CACCCAGAATTGCGGGAAATAATGCGATCTAAGTAAATTTTTTTTTTTGTTGCACTACTTATGATCGCCAGTGTATACCTACTGAATCATCTCATACCTCTAATTCGGAAGATATGATAAGTGAGAATAACAAACCTTTACCGGAAACTAAGGTAAATACTCCGGTTTATGACCGAGCATATTTTCGCAACAAGACATTAGATGAGTATCCTAATTTATATAGAGAATTTAGTAGTGAAAATTTCGATTATTATGGCATTACTGACGAGACATTATGCGGGGTCTCGAGAGAGACTATCTGCCCATTATGCAAATTAGGTCATGATGATGAAGAAATAGAAGGTAGGTATAAAGCCGGATCTTACTTTATTAAATGCGAACAGCGTGAAATTGAGATAGTTGCATAGTTTCATAATTTTATAGCCTATTTTTTTACAGGGTTAGTCTATGTCAGCTATTACCTAATTTAAATTGTTTGCAGTTATATAAAAAGAAAAATGGCCGAGTCTAATAAAATATTAACCCCCAAATATCTAGATTGACATGCCAAATTAAGTGGGCTACCAGGCATTTTGACGGATAAGATTCAGTCGAACTTATATAAAAAATATAAAAAAGAAACTGGACATGAGCCGTGGCAATTATCAAAAGCTGTGATAGTGTCGGCAAAACCTCAAGCCCCCGATTTCAAGCCTATCACTTTTGAAGCCAGACCCGATCCAGAATTAATTATCAAATCCGTCTTAGAGCACTTCCCATACTTGAAGTTCCGAAATAGTTTTAGAGGAAATGATAATTATAATTTTGCATCACCTCAGCCGTGGAGCTCACCATGCCCTATTTGCAATGGAAAACATGGGAATTATGGATTACATGGCGAATGGTACCGCGAAAATGAGAATCAGCTCCCTTATGATCCCGAATTAGCGAAGTTGTATTCCCAAGATAAGTTGGAATATTGTCTTACCTGCAACACTTCAAGTAATAAATTCAAGTTCGCAATAGTAGCATAATTCATAAATCCTATCATTATTATATATTATATTTATTTTTTTATCGCTCGCGTAAAAAATAAAAAATGGGAGCCCAGCGGACCCCTCCCTTTATTATTATAAAAAATTATATTGCCGGGATGACAATATAATATACAAATAAAAAATATATATATCGCCGTTACAGGTGCGAATACAAATAAAAAAAAGTTTAATGGTCTTTTACAAGAAAATCCGCAAGTTTTTTTTCCATCTGCACATGCCCTCTCTGTGCTTTAAATTTTAAAATTTTATCACCATTTACATACAACTCATAGCTATTTATCCAAGTTATAAGATAGCTTTTTTGACCCTTAACTTCCACAGGTGTTATTTCATTTTTAGTCACCTTATTTATAAATTTCGCTTTCTCCAAAGTGTCAATTGGACTTTCATTTTTATCTACAAGAATAACCCTTGCGACATCTTCATTTAACTCTTCGACCTTTACTCAGATGTTATCACGACCAGTATCAAAGACTCCTGTCTCTTCTGACTTATATGAGAAAATATTTGCGGACATCACGACTGTTAATAAAAACAAGGCTATTAATACATGAACTTGTGATAGTGTTTTCTGACCAGCTCTGCTAAAAAAAACATTACCTTAGAACTAAATTGCCGGTAACTTATGTTAAACTTTTTTTTCAAAAAATATATACGAGCAAAAATGTTATTGCTAACTTATCTTATGGGCAGAAGCTTGCTTATTTTTATACTGTCTATTCGCAAGATCTAAAAACTTGCCAGAAAAAAAGTTATATGATTAGTAATTGGGTTAAGGTAATGCAAACTAGATCACACCATGTAAAGCAAGTCTATTCGGTCATAATTTCCAAATGCTGAATCTATTTTGTTATTTTTTCTGGTAAAATTAACCCCCCTTAGATTCGACGATCGTTTAAAGTGGATTTAGATCTGACGATCTCGGAGATGGCGGAGATTTGAAGTCCCCGTAACATATGAATTTTGATAAAACTACTGATAAAGAACGTCATACTCATTGCCCTTATAGCCTTTTTAAGTTCCATTCTTATCGCAGGGTCATATGTAGGGTAAGAAAGATTCTAGTCGCTATTCATTATTAGCGCTACTTATTAACTTAATAAAAAATCGACCGTGAGAAATTAAGGTAACACCGCAAAAAGTTTAATGCAGGCCATTGATTATTAAAGCCAGTCAAGGATTTATCGCAGATTCGAACTGATAAACCTGAATATCAAGTGATTGCTATCGTTATTATTAAAAATATTAAACTCAATTTATACTCCGACGGCCTCTGGGGGCCGTTGAACCCCCCTAGCATAACCACCACGATCAGTTACGTAATCGCTGTTTAAAGTCTGATCTGAGATTTTACTTAACCGG